GATCGGTCTATGACACCGATCTCAGCTTCCGTGAGCTCAAATGCGTGCGAAAACGCGTCAGGCACAACTATGTCGACTCCTTTTCGATACTCAGTTTCAAAAGTATGATCTTGGAGCTGTAGTGCCCATCGAGCTAATCGGCCCGTTGGATTTTTCAGGCTATAAAGCCATATCAAGCTGCGGTGGTCTGTTACGACTTTGAATCGATAGGCTTCTACAGAAGCCCAGGTTGGCAACTATAGCGCTGAAGTAACGGCAACACAGCAAGCAACGTTACAGGATACCATCCGTAAGGTCTTGTCCCAGGCCCCCGCGGGACTAGAATGTGCTACAGGGATCGAACACGAGATTCGCGTTAGTTAGACAAAGCCGATAAAGCAGCGATATTACCTAGTATTGCATAAGGTCGAGCAAGAAATATATAATTTGGTAAGGGAAATGTTGACCCAGGGAGTTATCGAACCGGCTAATAGTGGCTAGTCGAGCCCGGTGGTAATGATACGCAAAAAGGATGGTTCATACCGATTTTGTATTGATTTCTGGAACGTCAACAAAGTCACCGAGCCAAATGCGTACCCCTTACCGTTCATGCAAGATATATTGAAACGCTTGCAAAATGCGCGCTATATCTCCACCTTAGTAACACGTATCACCCAATTCGACTCAAACTGGAATCTCGATCTATCACTGCTTTCACCGTACCAGGGTTGAAGCATTTTCAATTTGTGCGAATGCCTTTTGACCTCTCGTACGTAGGTGCTACCTTCCAGCGGTTGATAGATAGCATGATCGGTTCCGAGCTCAGCGAATTTCGAGGATCATTTACAGCATCTAGGGACCGTCGTAAATATATTAAGACAAGTTGGACTCTTGATTAATCGAATTAAGAGCACCTTCTGCAAAGCAGAAGCTAAGTACCTGGGATTACTGATTAATCAAGATGAAATCAGGCCCGATTCTGAGAAGATCCGCTTTATTATGGAGTACCTCGACCCAGAAATATTCGACAGCTGCGAACTTTCCTCGAGACCTCGGGTTCCCGGAACCCAAAGGACTATATGTGCTAAAGATGGACAATGAGGATCGGATTATCGAGTACGCTAGTAGGGTCCTTAATTCCGCTGAGCAAAACTACTCACAATCAGCTACGGAACGCGAATACTTGGGGGTCGTATGGGCCATACAGATGTTTCTCCCTTATACACGGTGATTCAAAAACATATGTAACTAATAATTCCATTGGATTCGTCTCGAAAAATTAATTTAGAATTGTGTTCTTAGTTTTTCGATTAAATAATTAGGTAATTAGATAATTAGCTTCAAAGATCGGCCAATCAGCGCACAGCTTTAGAAGAATGGGCGCTTGGTGGTGAGCGCGGAGCAGTGAGGGAGGGCCAGCGGCGCGCGCCGCCGCTGATTGCAAGCGGTGCTCAACCCAGTCGTGCAACACGGAGCTCCCATGTCTACATACTGATATACGTATTCATTGATTGAACGCGTATCAATAATAAGAACGGTTCAATACCGATTGACTAATAACAATGATGCACGTGAAAGCTTTTGTGTTTATTTTGCGAAATAGGTTATTTAGTATCCGTGGTCGTCGAATTCAAACTCGCTGTCTTATTTAAGAATTATGTTCATTTAATGCTGAAAATCGCTGTGATCGGCTACTACATCATTGCTTTTTTTTGCGTTTGAGAAAATTGAGATCAATAGGTAGAGGCGTACAGTGTGTTTCCAATTAGCTTAGTTATACGTTTTTTTAAGATTAAGAAATAAAATAATAATAAATAAATACTGACAATCCTCGGCTGAAAATTCCCATGTGGGAAATTTACCCCTGATGTGTCATCACACTTGAAACAAAGTCTCAATTCGCGTGTGCGAGACGATTTACACTAGTCACCACAGGAAATCCATCCTAAAATTTCTCATGCGTGCGAATCGTATCACATCTGAATTTGAGACTATGGGTAAGACTCTAATAGGGTCTATAATAGAAGGAGCTTTAAATCTCCGAGAAAAAACGCGTTTTGGCAAGTAGGCGGCTCGTAAACAAAAATGCTGTCGCTACGATGGCTTGCAGTAAAACGGCGCCTCGAATCGAGTAAGTGAAATTTGAATTTCAGTAATGATCATTAGTTATGAAATTATTTCCAGCACATAATAATTATAAAGAAAATATCGCAATGCTGAAGACTAGATCTACAATACATTGCGCATTTCTGAAACCACGTATCAATTTGATATTAATTTTATTAGCACAAATAAAAATACATTAGTGATATTATCAATCTAACGAGCAATCTACAATTATCAAAATAGTTAGGATTATTGTAGAACCCATTAGAACTTTGAGTCGTAGTCTGGGAAGCGAAACGCTTTTCATAAAGTGCGTAAATGTGTGTACATCAATTTTTCTAAGTTAAATTACGAATTATAAATAATAAAAAACTGAAAATTATAAAAGTCGTCGCCACTTTTCGGTGAAAAGAAATTCCAAAAACAAATTTCCATAATTTCTTTTAAAATCAATCTCTCGTTGTCGCTGTTCCGCATGGTAACTTCATCGTTTAAAAAACCGACATACGAAAGAAGATCCGTAATAAGTTTAAAATTATTATTTTAAATTATTATTTAAGTTTATTTTAAATTATTATTTTCATTATTATTATTATTATTTTAAATTATTATTTAAGTTTATTTTGAATTTAAAATGAGCAAAAATCTTATCACCGTCGATTTTGGCTCTGAAAAAATTTTGAAAGCAGCAAGTTGTATCTTGAAATGAAAAAGGATACCGATTTATGCGATTACAAAGTTCGGTGTGATACTTTTTCTTGAGCTCACAGTCAAAAACTAGGAAATTCAGTTTTTCGCTTTCAGCAAGGTCGCGCTGGCAATTGTACGCTCCACAATTGTTTTTCGATCTCGAAAATGTGTTTCCCATTGTATTTTTCATCGCTGAACACGAATCTAAAATTAAATTGTTTCGATAACTTAAAAGTTCGACAAAATTTGATACGCGGAAACAGAAAAAGTCACCCTACTGTTTTCACGTTTCCTGGACGCGAGTTTGAAGTCAATTGTCATCACAGCTGTCATGACAACTGCTAACTGTCAAACTGGCAATTTAACTTTAGATTCGGGGTCAACGACAAAAAATACAATGGAAAAAACTTTTTTGGGAAAAACATGATGCTTTCAAAATTTTTTTAGAGCCGAAATCGACGGTCATAAGATTTTTGCTCTTCCATGATCATAATAAACCACAGTGTGGCCTCAGAAAATCTGCGAACGAAGCGAGGCTCAAGTAAAAATTCTGATGACGCCGAGGTTTAGGCGAAGAGGGCAGACGTGCGCTAAGCTGCTCTGAGAAAAAAGTCACATATAGCAGAGGCTCGGGGACGAAAAGAAGACGAGCACGGCGCGGCCTTAGAAATAGGCAGGAGGAAGCTGGGACTTGATTAAGCAGGGCAGACGAGCGCAGTGATGACTGAAAATGCGACAAGCGAAGTAACGGCGCTGGGAAGATAGCAGACGAGCCCAGTGCTGTTCGGGAAAAGTCAAAGGAGCTGAGCGCTGGTTTGATAAAGGTGGACGAGCCGAGTGCTGCTTTAAAAAGGAGCGGACGAGCCTAGTGTTGCTACGATAAAGGGTCCAGTGCGGATCTGTAAAAAGGCAGATTAGCGAGGGCAACGTTAAAAAGTGTAGACGAACGAAGGGCTGCGTCTAAAAGAGCAGACGGGCAGAAGGCTACGTCCAAGTAGGACGGCCGAGCGGAGGGCTCTGTGATGTAGGGCAGACGAGCAGAAACCTAAGTCACAATATGACGGACGAGTGGAGGGCTGCGTCCAAAAGGGCAGACGATGAGAGGGCTATGTTAAAATAAGACTGACGAGTGGAGGACTGTGTAAAATAAGACGGACGAGGGAGGGCTGCGTCCAAAAGGGCAGACGATCAGAGGGCTATGTTAAAACAGGACAGACGAGCGGAGGGCTGTGTAAAATAATTAACTGGTAAAGGATGTTCTCGGAGTAAACGACGAGAAAACACCATAAATAAGAATCGGTATCTTCGGTATCAACAAGAAATCTGTTTTTCGATTTTTGTCAATAACGATAAGACGACTAGTAGTTAAAAGCAGTTGGATGCCATCCTTATGGATTGGTTTTGTTGTTCCCTGCAAAATCGCATGGTAGAAGATATTTTTTAGTGTTCTCCTGAAAGTTTGCATGGTACTAACACACACGCTATGTATTTTGCTGTACGTTCTACCGAGTCGACGATTTACTTCTTTGTCTGAAGTTGCGGTTAAAACTGCATGTACAAAAACTTGGACGCTAACGAGAAATTGTCAACTCAGTGACTTACTTTTGTAAAACGTCAATCGCATTTAATAAGTTGTTTTCGGTTTCTCTATCGTTGACCCCTGCGTTGACGGCGAGACTCGGTATACTTGGAGAAACTTCGATGATTTTATCATCAAGCTCTACGAGATTGTCGAGCGCCAATGCTGCCTGTGATGCGAGGATAGCTTGGATGTTGGGCAGCAATCGTTAAAGCCAAAGTTGACGTAAGAAGTTATCTTGCACAATGGTCTCGCCAACGAGAGACCGTAGGTGACGGAGAAACTGCGACAGTTTGCAATTGTCGAGCTTTTCCTCACTGATGAGTTGTCGAATTCGTTGTTCCTCAGATGCAGGCAAACGAGTAATTAATTTTGTATGTCAACTTATAATTCAATACAAGTGTAACTGGAATGGAAAAATAACTGGAACATGACCCAATGAAATGTTGTTACCTTGTTTGTGATATTACAGAGCTGAAAAGAGGATGTAATCTCGTTTGACGATGAAAAATCCAATTTTGATGTTTTTTTCGGTTGATGTTATTCGATGCGTTCGTCGTCGGGGTCAGCAATATAGAAAATATTGCGTAGCTTATGTGAATAATAAATAGAGTCGTTATTTTCTATTTAAAAGAAGGTTGTTTATTTGTATGACTATTAATAATGAAAGCCGTTGACAGACTGAAAGTAAAAAATAGTTATTCGAATAATTAAGCGTTGCTATGCAAACGTTTTTGTTGAACTGTTCGAAGTTCAAATGTAATAATTCAAATAATCACCACAAGTTTGTAAAATTTATTTTCTCTGTTTGACACACTATATATAACAACTGTATGTATTTATTTGTATTTTAAATTCCATGAGTTGATTTTCGAATATTTGAAAACTAATATTTTTTACCGTACACAACAGTGAAATATATTCAAAACAGCGATGTAGAAAAAGAAATCTCAGATACCAGAATAAAAATATATTAGAAGAGTAGATTTGGTTGATTAATGTATCGATTTTTAAAATGCATATACGTAAACAGAAAAACTGATGAAAATAAGCTGAGTAAACTTCCCCACTGAAGGCAAGCTTCAATAGTATTGGCTGTGTAATACGAATGGTATAGGATATTCATCACTGAGTCAGGAATTTCGTCGATTCCAACTTCTATCCAAAGAACTGGTAAAATCGCACCATCTTTCAACCGACCTAGAAAAGGTACTGCATCAGCTTTCCGGACTTCCATATTTATCTGAACCCTTGACCAGCCACCTATCGGCACTGCCAATCGCTTTAAACAAATTAATCTATTAAATATAATTATATAATGCAATATTTGTCTTGATATAGTATGAAAATTTATTTTTAGATAATTGTATCTAATCCACATAATTTCAATGATATCTAATGTATACAATATTACATATATCTATGGTCATTTTTTCATTTTATATCGCATGGTAATCATAATTTCAATAAATAGAATATTATTATTGAGTAAGTAGAATTTGTATTTTACTTAAAAGATTGGATAAATTTGATATGAACTGGATTTTATTAATTAAAAGAAATACAGATACACATATTTATTTATAATTTCAAGGTCAACTATTGTTATGATTCAAAGACAGTATGGATGTGTAGGTGTATAATGGAAAAGTATATGGAAAACGACACTTTTTCAATTTGTCAAAAATAAATAACATAGAAAAAAATTAAGGATATTCATGAAATTTTGACATGATCAAGTTTACTTAAATTTGAAGCAATTGTCATATTGAAAAATGCATCATCGAATACCTCGAAATGATGTATTGTCAAAAAGACTCTCAAATCGATATCGCGGTTCAGCGCCAATTCACTAACTCATTTTGATATTTTCTTCGAATCAATATGATGAATTTCACCTTAATTCGATCAAAAGGCTTCGCCGAAAATCAGAGTATCTGAATTTATTGTGCGACGACTCAAACTATTCATCTTAATCAGCACTTTCGAAATATGACTGGTGTTTTTGTTCTCCGATCTTGAGAGAGTTCACAGAAAGCCCAAAAGTTGATATATATTAACTCAAGAATTTGTACCTAAGAGTATTTGGGGTCGTTGAATACGAATCCGTAATCAGATTTTCGAGATTTAAAATGGCGGATCCACTATGGCGGATCAAAATGGTTGAAAATCGCCAATTTCTATTTTCTTGGTTATGAACATAAATATGGAGATTTTCGGGGTCGCTGAATACAGATCTGTAATCAGATTTTTGAAATTTAAAATGAGGGATCAAAATGCTCAAAAATCGACGAATTCGATATTTCTGGCTGTAATCATGTATACAGGGAGATCTCTGCATATCCAAAAGGACTGATATTTAAACAAGAATTCAAGGTGCGTTTTTTATATTTGGACTAGCGGATCCATTCGTTAAAGTATCGAGCGACCCTTATTACCAGCTGAAAATAGAAATTATTAAAGTCGCTAGTCCAAAATATCAAAAACTCACCTCGAATCTTCGTACAGACAACTGTTCTTTTGATATTATTACGAGATGTGTAGAGGTCTTTCTCTATACATCGTTCTAACCAGAAATATGGAATTTATCGAATTTCGATCATTTTTGACCGCTACATTGGAGCTGCTATTTTGAATTTTGAAAATCTGATTACAGATTAGTGTTTAGCGACCCTAAAAACCTTAAGGTATCAATTTTGGAGTCAATATCTATCGAAATAAAAGATTGGTGCATAAAAGCCTAAAAAATTGGGCGGTACGATCTGACTTTAGGGTATTCTGTGAGTCTGTCAAGATCGGAAACTAAAAACACCAGTCATATTTTGAAAGTAACTAGTTTAGATGAACAGTTTAAGCCGCTTCAATATAAATTTGGATGCTCTGAATTTTAGTCAAGCCTTTCTGTCGAATTGACGAGAAATCCACCATATATTCGAAAAAAAAATGGAAATTAGTTAAAAAATTGGTACTGAACTGCGTCGCCGATTTTCGAGCCTTTTTAGCAACATTTAAGAGTCTTTGGGGACATTTAAGGTTAAAAAATTACAATTGACATTCTCTATTTATTCGTTACTAAATTTTCTAAATACCCTTAAACTAGTAAATTATCAATTTTTTGTGGTCCTGTGTGATTGACAACTATGCTTTTATACTTACGTTGTGAAATTGATTTATAAAAATTACAATATCAATATTTGCATATTTCTACTGCTATCTTATTTATACTTTCAATCTATACATTAAAACCATTCGGAATAGATAATTTATACTGACATATTATATTTGCCCTCGAAGGCGCAAGAATGTTTGTCGATGTCGATCTTGCATGCGCACTGCTACTGGCTCCTCTGCGATCCCTGTTAAAATGAAAAAACGTGTGACGTATCTTACGTTATCTTCTTGAATAAAAACGTCATTTTGCTCGCAGTAAGATGACGTTTCTGAAAGAGTGCGCGAAATCGCGATTTCACAGGCACTTCTTTAGGGTGAGTGTGCCAATTACGATTCGGCGGGGAGTATGGTTGGGCAAGGTAAAACGAAATGACTAATGCATTCCGTCATTGGATACGTCAACGTTTTATTGAGTAGAATGGAAAAATCAGATATAACAGATAATGTTTACATTAATCGAACTGAGAGAGACCGTATGAACGTCGAATCGCGGTCGAAAGAGAAAGCTGTAGCTAACGTGAGCCAATAACGTGTGATCACGGTACACATTTGCGGTGGAAATCAGGCGCGCACACTTCCGACTACGTGCTGGCCAGCTTACTTGGTTTTCGATGTCGGTAACCTCGTCCTCTCTTTCTGCTCAACCTTCCGGTTCACCTTTAACTACGCTTCCTTTTCAGGTCTTTATTTTTTTTCTCCTTGATTTGACAATCTCTAGGTTGTCATATATCGATGCAGCTCGATCGTCGGTGATCGAACGATTGATTAATTCCTCGCTCTCTCTCTCTCTCTCTCTCTCTCTCTCTTCGCATACGTGAGCTGCCCAACCAGCCGATCACGAACCGATCTGTATCGTCCTCGCTCCCACCAGTCGTTACTACAGATAAACGAGCACCCTTAATGAACAGGGCTCATTACAAAGCCCACAACATTTTACTTATTCTCGTTCATACATACTTTTGTCTGTATTGAACATACACTGCCGTCCATACTTATTTTCCCACCCAGAGAAAAAATTACATAAAATTAAAAGCTTTGTTACTAAGGAAGTATTCATCCTATAGAAGCCTCCAGGAGCTCATTTTATAGGCTCTGGTGAGTACTTTGAGGTACATTTTTTGAATCGATTGAATCTATCTTTTTAATCGATTCATAATTTTTTTCCATGTTTTATCAATACATAAAGGTAAGTAAAACATCAAAAATGTTTTGCCTACTTTTAAGTCTGAACATTTTTATGTGATGTAACGGAGTGGATTAACTGGTACAAAATGGATTTATTAAAGAATAAACTCCGACGATGCAGAGCTAACCGCCACTCCGTTAAACACGTATGACTACACGTGTATTTGCCTTTACGTTTGATACTTTCATTCCGATGTCTTCTTTTCAACCGAGTTGAACTCACCTTAAGTTACCTGATTTGTGACACTCGATATATCTTAGGTGTAAGTCACCTCATGTTTATTCCAACTAATTCCCTAGATAAAATCGGTTTAAAATTCAACCGATGACGGATCCGTTAAATTAAAAGGGAACGAAATCCGTTAAATTAAAAGGTAACGAAATAACGATAAATGCGACAAATAAAATCAAGATCATTTATGTTTAATAAACTGCAGTCTTCGATGGGCAGAAAGACTTAGGTAAGCGAATAGAATTTACAATTTTCAATAATACGGAGAGAGAGAGAGAGAGAATTCAAAATTCGACCGCGATAAATAACGCTCGGCGTGAACACACAAACGGTCGCGGTAGACAAAATATTTTTGTAAATATTTTGTCTCGCACAAAAAGGGAGGTGCACCTACCCTGCGGTGCAATTACGGTGATCAGCCGTTCTCAACAAGCAGGCTAACCCGCCTAACCCTGGGAACAACAAGTTTAGTCGGTTGTGTTTTCTTAAAACAATCAAATTCCACACCACAACTAAACTAACCTACCTAACTCACCCAAGCCCTAAAAACCATCCCTACCCAAACCACAAGCAGACTTACCCACCTAACCCTGGGAACAACGAATTCAATCGTTTTTTTAATGAAATATTAGAAATTTCCTTGTATCACTCCTTCATTGTATACCTTATAAACCACTTAAGAATCCGAATCATTGAACGAAGAAAGAGACGTCGACCACGAATACGCCCCGAGAGATAACAGAATGTCAACAATTAGGAAGTTTACACGGCGTCTAAGCTAAAAAATGGAAAATAAGCTTTCGTTAATTAAATGAAATAAAATTGTACGTAATCTTCAATAAATCTTGAATGAATCTATGAATAAAGCCTTGAAAAATGGATAAAAAAAGGAAAATAAGCTTCCGTTGTTATTAACAAGTTTGCTTAACTTGGCTGGCTACCAAGTCGGCTACTCAAAACACCTCATTTTTTTATTTCAGATTTGGAAAGAAAGTTAAACTGGTCACTCCCACATTGTCTTAATTCATTAAGGCCCTTGCCAAACCTGGGCAAGATAGCGCCAAACTAACTATGCCAATCGTAGATAAATCGAGAAAAAATACCAATGTTTTTTCTTTTGCCATTTACAATTATTTATCAAAAGTTATTTAAACAAATTATCGAAAGGTAATCATTTGAAGTCTGACAAGAAAACGTTACATACGTTTCTTTCATATTTTACCGTAGAATCAATTTTTGAAAATAATTTTGTAGGAAAACAAATTATTTTTATTCTCTTTTTTGGTGTGATTCCGAACAAGCCTACAGAGTTTCAACTAAATCGGAAAAAAACACTTCTTTAGTATTATTTATGGAAAAGGTGACTCGTGAACAGTCCTTCTCAGGATAGTTCACGTGGAAATTTCTTAGGGTCTAGCGACTCAAAAGGGCCAAATATACCAGATTATTCGAGAAACAAAATTTTTGACATTCTGTCATCTCTCGGGCATGTCAAGGCCGATATCGTGCTGCAGCAAGATATTACCGTCAAAATTACCCAGGGAGGCTTCGGTACCCAAACCACGTGAGAATCTTAATCATTGAACGAAGAAAGAGACGTCGACCACGAATACGCAGAAATCGTCGTCGCATTATGAGATAGAACAACGATGATCCACGAATTCTCATTGTTTTGGCAATGGTTGATTTGGATC